TAAGTGCTTGTTAAAGCAGATAAAAAGGAGATCTCCAGTAATTTATACCTCTGTGATGCATGGCTGTAAAATATCTCACTTATTTTGAAATTTACTGCCTTTAGGCTCTAAAGACGTCCAGACTACATATTAGCAATGCAGTATTTCACATCCACTTTTTCCTTTCTCTAGCGCTTGTGTGCGGATGTATGACTGGTTTGATCACCATGGGCACGTCTGCATTGCCTTTGAGCTGCTGGGTTTGAGCACGTATGATTTTCTGAAGGAAAATAGCTTTCAGCCCTTCTCTATCAACCACATCAGGCACATGGCCTACCAGATCATCAGAGCAGTCAGATGTGAGTCAAGGATCTCGTTTAATTTAATATTTTTTCTGTGTGTTTCGGATGAAACACTGATTTAATCTTTTGCTTTTCTTTGCTTCTTTGTGTTTCAGTTCTTCATAAGCATAAGCTGATACACACTGACCTGAAACCAGAGAACATCCTCTTTGTTAATTCAGAGTATGACATCAAGTACAATTCAAAAATGGTAAGGAAGAGGCACTGATCCCATTCAGACCGGTGTTATTTTAGTAGTAGTATGTACTATTGTAGTTTTTAAAAAATATTTTAGTATTAGTAATACCGTAATTCCTCAAATAAAGACCGGGGCCTTTATTTACCTGAACTGCAGATGGTAGCCGGCTTTTATTTGAAGCAGGCTTTTATTAGAGGCAGGCCTTTATTTCTAATTCGCGATCCCCGCCCGCCAGCCAAGTTTCCATGGTGACGCGTCATGCTTGGCACGTGTTTACCACAGCCAAAATAGCGCTGTATGACAGATGTAGCGCTTTTATTTCTAAATATTAACAAACTTGCTTAACATGTCATCAACTATCTTCTATTCTGACTCTCAAATCCGTGTAAGTGAGTTTGTTTTGTCGTTTAAAACCCTTTATAAATTATCTTGATCTGTAACGTGAGATGGGCACCGCAGTTCAGAGATTCCTGTCTGTTGGATTTGTTACGTTACAGCGCGTGAATTCTTCAGTTTCTCCCGAAATACATGAAAGTAAGTGGCCGGTGAACTGGGAGAAGAATAGAGTAAACTTTATAGTTACTTACACGGTGTATCTGATATGAATAAAACACGTCGCCAAATATATTTGAATGGATTGTTATTGCTGCTTCCATAGACACCATTGTGTATTTTACAAACTATAAATGTATTGTTTTGCTATAAATCATATCTATTTAAATGTCTGAAACCTAAAATAAACATGTGGTTAAAAACACTGAATAGTTGTGATATGACAACCGCTGAGCGAGTCCGTCTTTGAGTGTACACTAATTTTTCCCCGGCCTTAATTTGAGACCGGCCTTTATTTGTCCGCGTTGACCACGCCCCCGGCCACTATCAGAGGCCCGGCGTTTATTTGAATACCGGTCTTTATTTGAGGAATTACGGTATTCCCACGTTTTCACAGATAAGACTTAAGCCTAGTCCCAGACTAAAATCCATGTTTGAGCTGTCTTGACTGAAATCAACTTTCACTAGTATATAATGAAATATGTCAGTGCCATTGTTTTGTCTCAAGATGCACACCAGTAATTTTGATCTAAGGTACATTTATAAAAACGAATTAAATGTCCTAATTGAACTAAAGCCTAATCCTGGCTTAATCTGAGCCCTGTCTGGGAAAGCAGGCTGTTTTCTTTTCTATATATCTTTTATTTATTTCGGTTTAGTTTATTACAACTTAAAGGAAAATCTAGCATCTAACTAAATTACGTTTTTAATCAAAATTTTTTTTCTTTTTTTTTTTTTTTCTAAAACATTTCAAATGGTTTTAGTTTAAAAATGACTACTAATTCATTTATTGTGCATTAATTATGTTGTTTTGAATTGCAGAAGAGGGATGAGAGAACTCTGAAGAATCCTGATGTAAAAGTAGTTGATTTCGGGAATGCAACATACGAACACGAGCATCATACATCTGTGGTGTCCACCCGACATTACCGAGCTCCAGAGGTTATTCTGGGTAAGCACTTATGGATGCATTGTTTTTATTCATACATTTCAGACACATTGATAGCACACGTGCTGTGATTTGCATGTATTGTGAGTTCTAACGGAGATATCCGTCTGTTTCATACAGATCTGGGCTGGAGTCATTCCTGTGACGTGTGGAGTGTGGGATGCATTCTTATCGAGTATTATCTGGGATCGACTCTGTTTCAGGTCAGTGTCACTTGAGTTTCAAATAGTTAAGTTATGTTAATTTTGGGTGCATGTGACTTGTTGATTCAGCACTTATTTCGTGTATTATGGTTTTTAAAATGTTTAGACGCATGACAGTAAAGAGCATCTGGCCATGATGGAGCGAGTGCTGGGCCCCATACCTACCCACATGCTGCAAAAAACAAGGTAATGTTTCAATTAAGTATTTAATTGCTGTGTTTTTGCAGGGTTTCTGGAAATATCTGGATTTTTTTTTTTAAACTCTGGATTCAAATGTATCTAGTTATTCTCTGTAATGTAACAAGCAAGGTTGAATCTTTAAGTCAACTAGAATTTGCTCTTAATGAGTGAAATCTATCAAATTACTGAAAAAATACTAACCCGGTTATCACCGATACCTGAGAAGTCACAAAACATGACAAAAGGAGTTGGAATCTTGTTTGGTATCTGAAAAGCTATTCCTTGATGATTTTGTAGTTTGATTTGTCTGAAGGTTTTTATTATTTGAACTCTCCTTTTATTAGCCTTTAATACCACATGCTGCTTTTGTTTTATCATGATGGCAATTTTTCTCATTATGCAGGAAGACCAGGTATGTTCGTCATGATAAACTGGACTGGGAGATTCACAGCTCCATGGGACATTACGTCAGGAAGCAGTGCAAGCCCCTGAGAGTGAGTTTATCATTTTTTAAGTTTTTATTATCAAGTTCGTTTTTGGTCAGTTTAGGTTTTGTATTTGCTTTGAGCCATTAAGGCACATGGAAACAAACAACTTCTGTATTGCCACTGACTCTTTTTTATTAATAATTGTTTCTTGCAGCAATACTTGGCCTCCAGTAGCTCTGAGCACAAGCAGCTGTTTGATCTCATAGAGAGGATGCTTGAATATGATGTCACAAAGAGGATTACCTTGGATGAAGCCATCAAACACCCTTTTTTCGACTGTATCAAGAAGAACAAGAAATAATGGATTTTTTGTTTTGTTTTGCTGTAGTTCCTCTCTGAGAGAGGCCAATTCAGTTGACTGTATCAGTCCTCTGTATAGATCATACACTGCTCTCTTCTCATCGTTCATTCTGTGACCTCTTGCTCTTGAGTTCTCCACTGATTTGTAACTGCATCACATGATTGAGGATAATGTATAACTGTAAAGCGGCTGGGTTTTAGGGTATTAGGTGTGTAGTATGATTGTCAGATTTGTTAGCATTATCAATATGAACCTAGTGATATTTGTAAATGTCTTTTCAGTTGTTTTGTTTCACTTGATCTTTAAATAAAAGCAGTTCCTGATCTGAATCATGTCTCATGGTGGTGTAATGTTTGCATGCGGTCAGTGGGTGGCGGTAGATCGCAACTCTAAACCTTCAAATTTCAAGTTGTACTTTTGAGTCTTGGCATTTATGGGCCTGTGATTTAGTAAAGTAATGAGAAAAGGAACATTCAGTAGATCTGACCAAACTTAGGACAGTCAAAACATGGTGGGAGTAGTAAAAAAACAAAACAAAAAAGTTTTATTAGATTTATTATAAATATATATTAGGGCTGTCAAATGATTAATCACATCCAAAATAAAAGTTTTTTTTACATAATAAATGTGGGTGCACTGTGTATAATTATTTTATATATATAAATACACACACATGCTTGTATATATTTAAGAAATATTTTCATGTATATACTGTATATAGATTTATATATAATTTATATTATATATAAATATTTTATATATAAATAATATTTTTTTCTTAAATATACATGCATGTGTGTGTATTTATATATATACAAAATAATTATACACAGTGCACCCACATATATTATGTAAAAAAAACTTATTTTGGATGTGATTAATCGTGATTAATCATTTGACAGCCCTAATATATGTACACACACACACACACACACATTGGATTTTATTTTTTTTACTATGCACAAGTTACAGAAATAAGAAATACATTTTTTTTAGTCATCAGAAGAAAACTGACAAAACACATTATCACAATGGTCGATTATACAGGTGAAACTAAAAATTTTATAATATTGTGCAAAAGTTTCTTTCAGTAATTCAACTTAAAAGGTGAAACTAATATTATATAGACTCATTACATGCAAAGTGAGATATTTCAAGCCTTTATTTGTTATAATTTTGATGATTATGGCTTACAGCTTATGAAAACCTCAAAGTCAAAATTAGAATATTGTGAAAAAGTTTTCATAGCTGTAAGCCATAATCATCAAAATTATAACAAATAATGGCTTGAAATATCTCACTTTGCATGTAAAGACTCTATATAATATATTAGTTTCACATTTTAAGTTTAATTACTGAAATTAACTTTTACACGATATTCTAATTTTTCGAGTTTCACCTGTAGATTAATTTTACGTACCACAAATACAAATCATAAAAAAAAGTTTAAAGATTTGAATAACTACTAGAAGAACTTCAACCGAACACCCGAAAAATGAATACAAAAATATATTTTAAAAAGTATCTTCTCGAAATGTTGTTTTATTCTTGTACGCTCTCTGGTTATTCCAGCACATTGTTTCACGCTCGGCACTCTCTCTCTCTCTCTCTCTCTCTCTCTCTCTCTCTCTCTCTCTCTCTCTCTCTCTCTCTCTCTCTCTCTCTCTCTCTCTCTCTCTCTCTCTCTCTCTCTCTCTCTCTCTCTCTCTCTCTCTCTCTCTCTCTCTCTCTCTCTCTCTCTCTCTCTCTCTAATGAGTCAATACCTAATGAGCACCCTACCTAGATAGCACTCTTATGCGTCGCAAGCACGCGAAACCTTTTTTACTAGGTTTTGAAACACAGCCATCCTGTTCAAAGCCCCGTGTTCTGTTCAGCGCTGCTCATTCTGACAGCCACATCTCATCGATCAAGAGCTGATCGATACTTAAGTGATATATCGGAATCTAATCGGAGACTTTACAAAATGGATCCATCTTCTGCGGAAAGAAATACAGAAAGCAAACAGAATGCTGCGAAACCGCTTTATCTGCGCTATTTAGTGTCTTTTCCTACCATAGTGTGTTTAGTGATATCGCTGAGTTCAATAGCGGTGTGTTTTCTCATGACTTTTAAAACGCATCAGATGGATAACAGGCTGCGCGCGCTGGAGATAAAGATGAGTGACATCTGTCAAGAATCATCTGTGGACGTCTCTGTTTCACAGGAACTGCGGGAATCTATTGATACACTCTTACAAGAGGCAAGCATTTTATCCTTTAGAAAAGAACGCTGCAACATCATCCAAAATGTTTCTTTTACTGTTTCACAAGTTTCTGTAGCATGTTGATTCTGTCCAATTTAATTCAAATCACAGCTAGCTATAGCTAATTAGTCGAAGTTATTATTAGTTATTTTTAATAGGCTACTCTTCAGTTTGTCAGTTATCTATCTATCTATCTATCTATCTATCTATCTATCTATCTATCTATCTATCTATCTATCTATCTATCTATCTATCTATCTATCTATCTATCTATCTATCTATCTATCTATCTATCTATCTGCATGTGCTGCAACGTGCGTTTATGTGGTTAAAACAATGTGTTTATTTTAATGGTAAATTAGTAAAGATTATAAATAGGCTATTCTGCTATATTATTTTATGCTCTTTCATGTTTCTTGTGTCATTTATGTTGATTTCATTTTTTCTGATTAAATCACAACTTATAATAATTCATTATTAAAAATAAAGTCATAATTATTCCAATTAACAAATGCATACTCTGCATACTATATATATATATATATTTTAACAAAAACCAAGGTGTAGGACCACTGACACTGAAAGGGTCTTTTCAATATTCAGATTACCGCTCAATCAATATGGAATTGATGTTACTCAAAATTGAAATGATTACTTTCCTCCATGTTGTATTTGACAGAGACTGAATGAAGCAATGCCGAAGTTGCGTGTGGCGAGAGACGTGACACAAGACTGCAACTGTCCTCCAGGTACGTCCATCAATCTGTCCTGACAGTCCTGTTCCAAAACACGGGAACACCACTCTGGGATGGGATGAAACCTGATAGAAATTGTGCTAAATTTATCAATGGCTTGTTCAGTGATTGAAAAGCTGTGATGTGGATGAAAGGAGGGTAGATCGGTTTATAGATGGAAAGACTGGATTACTGAAACAATTGTGCAGGTTTTGGTAACTCTTTGAGATTTGTATTTCAGATTTGTACTAATAGCATTTAGCAACCGAAGCGTTTTGTACAATGATGCTAAACTATAAGACAATAGATTTCCTACACTCTTAAAATAAAGGTTATTTACTGGCATTCCATGAAGAACCTTTAGCACGTAACCTTTACAATTGATCAAAAGGTTCTTTAGACTTTTAAAATGTCCTTTAAACTAAGAAAACATGGTTCTTTTAAGAGCTGGTCATTGTAAGTTTTTTTTTTTTTCAAATTAAAATTTAAAGTAATAAATGGAGATTAAAAGTAATAAATTATTTAAAATGGCATATCAAAGTAATGTTATGCTATTTTAAAGGTTCCTTATTTTGTTCTGCACATCAGGTTTACATACATCCAAGGTCAAAAAACATTTTTCTCGTAATATACACACTACAGATCACTTCATTTATCAAAGAGTCTGAAAACGGTTTGTTGGAATATTGAGTCTCTCTAAACCCCTCCTTTCCGAGAGCCTACTCTGCTCTGATTGGTCAGATGGCCCAGTCTGTTGTGATTATCTACTCTGCTCTGATTGGTCAGATGGCCCAGTCTGTTGTGATTATCTACTCTGCTCTGATTGGTCAGATGATCCAGTCTGTTGTGATTATCTACTCTGCTCTGATTGGTCAGATGGCCCAGTCTGTTGTGATTATCTACTCTGCTCTGATTGGTCAGATGGCCCAGTCTGTTGTGATTATCTACTCTGCTCTGATTGGTCAGATGGCCCAGTCTGTTGTGATTATCTACTCTGCTCTGATTGGTCAGAAGGCTCAGTCTGTTGTGATTGGTCTACTCTGCTCTGATTGGTCAGATGGCCCAGTCTGTTGTGATTATCTACTCTGCTCTGATTGGTCAGATGGCCCAGTCTGTTGTGATTATCTACTTTGCTCTGATTGGTCAGATGATCCAGTCTGTTGTGATTATCTACTCTGCTCTGATTGGTCAGATGGCCCAGTCTGTTGTGATTGGTCTACTCTGCTCTGATTGGTCAGATGGCCCAGTCTGTTGTGATTATCTACTCTGCTCTGATTGGTCAGATGGCCCAGTCTGTTGTGATTATCTACTCTGCTCTGATTGGTCAGATGGCCCAGTCTGTTGTGATTATCTACTCTGCTCTGATTGGTCAGATGGCCCAGTCTGTTGTGATTATCTACTCTGCTCTGATTGGTCAGATGGCCCAGAGTCTGTTGTGATTATCTACTCTGCTCTGATTGGTCAGATGGCCCAGAGTCTGTTGTGATTATCTACTCTGCTCTGATTGGTCAGATGGCCCAGTCTGTTGTGATTATCTACTCTGCTCTGATTGGTCAGATGGCCCAGTCTGTTGTGATTATCTACTCTGCTATAATTGATCAGATGGCCCAGTCTGTTGTGATTATCTACTCTGCTCTGATTGGTCAGGTGGGCCAGTCTGTTGTGATTATCTACTCTGCTCTGATTGGTCAGGTGGCCCAGTCTGTTGTGATGGGTCTACTCTGCTCTTATTGGTCAGGTGGCCCAGTCTGTTGTGATTGGTCTACTCTGCTCTGATTGGTCAGAAGGCCCAGTCTGTTGTGATTGGTCTACTCTGCTCTGATTGGTCAGAAGGCCCAGTCTTGTGATTGGTCTACTCTGCTCTGATTGGTCAGATGGCCCAGTCTGTTTTGATTGGTCTACTCTGCTCTGATTGGTCAGGCGGCCCAGTCTGTTGTGATTGGTCTACTGCTTACAGCGTGTGTTAGAAACGAAACGTTCCTCATCCTTTGGAAGTGCATCCAAAGTGGATTCTCAGCCAGAAAACGGCATCTTCTCGTCATGACAAAAACACGAACCAAACTCTTCCAGTCTCAGCTACAACTAGTGTTTGAGGGTCAAAGTAGATGTTGATTGCGGGCAGCCAATGAAGACCATAGGCTGGCATTATGCAAATTAGTTATTGTTTATAGGTATGTAACAGGTAGTGGGACTGGAATTGTAATGCATTTGTTGTGCAATTTGATCTTTAAAAATGTGCAGACCTTTTTTGCGTTCACAAACAGCTATACTACAGCTATAAACAGCTATACATTAAAATATAATTTTCTATAAATCTTAATGGGGCACTTTAATAATTTGTTAAGAAGTCATATAGTCTTATAGTTTTTATTAGGGCCTGTATTTTATGATATTGTTGATTTTACATTATATCTTATGTAGCATGGAGTCAGGACGTCGAACCAGCCGTAAAATCTGAAAGCGTTTGGCATACATGCAGTGTTTTCACTTAAGGCAGTTACAAATAGTCACCATGATTATAGATCAGAGCATTTTATACAGCTATGTGCATTTCTAATTGTGATTTTAAATACAGAGCTGTTGTGTATTGATGAATTGGAGGTTGCGGTGTGTTTTTTTTGGCTCCTCTGTCACAAAAGGAGGTTGTTAAACATGGCGTTGGTGGTAACTCGAGTTTGGGTGCATTGAGAAACCTTGAGGAATTGCTGTCGGTCTTTTTCTTTTTCACAATCACTCTTTACATCGAGTCACAGAGCTTATAAAATCCAGCGTTTCTATAAATGTATGCAGGTTCACATCTGAGGGGAGATATCGATGTCGCAGGACAAGAGGGAGGTCATAAGCATCTGCTTATAGGTTCTGAGTGTGTGTGTGTGTGAAGGGGCCCCAAGTATGTGTCTGTGCGAGTGTGTGTTTCTGTTTGTTTGTGTGGGTAGTGCCGCAGAAGGCCCAACAGAGGCACCGAACTGTAAGGCGAGACCCTTTCATTTTAGAAGCAATGGTTGCCACCTGAAACCTGAAGCGTGTTGAGCGGTCCGGGCAGGCAGGATCAGAGGGAGAAGTATTTCTGTCTCCACAACAGACCTGAGTTCAAAAGCTCTCGCCCCTGGGCAGGTTACAGTGTGTCGCCCCCTACAGGAGCAGCTTGGAATGACACTGATGAGAGGATATAATTTATTCGCAATAACAATTTTTTTTCTTTGGGGGGGGGTGTGCTCTGCATCGTTAGGCATCATTAAGCATCATTAATGATGCTTCCAAGCTTTATGCAAAAGCACCATAATCGTATGAACAATGTGCTCCTTTACTGTCTTCTTCTGCCATAGGATCTGTGTGAGATATTTACGGCACCTCTAAAGGATGGGCTTTTTCAACCCATACTTTATTATTTTGATTATTATTATCATAATAATTTTTAATTAAAAATAATTCATATGTTTCATAGAACCGCTCGTTTCATGTCTTAGGCCATCAATGTGTATTTACATTTACGAGTCATTAAATCTTGTTTAATTTGGACTTCTCTGTGCATGCTCTTTGAGGTGGTGACCATAGACCTGCATTATATGACTGACAGACAAGAACGGTTTGACCTAAAAATATCAAAATTGAAACTTCTGCGGAAACAAAGACCCCTACATTTTGGATAGATGTAGGGGTCCAAAATGAATACCAAAAATTAATTTCAAAGTGAACTATCCCTTTAATCATTTTAAATGTTTTGTGAACATATAGTCAAACCTCAGTCTGCTATAATTTAAAGACATTTCCCCCCACACTTTTTAACCTTTTTTTATTCATATTTTTACTATTATTGATCACACCCTTTAAAAAATATTTTAAAATGTAAAACATTCACCACAAGTTTACCAGAACTAGAAATGCACTAAGCGTTGCAGGGGGTCCCTGTCATGGTTTTTCCCCCCTGCCATCTTAACCACATAGCTTCTTTCCACTGCAGAGTTAGGTCTCCGTAATTACCCGTCGACTGAGATGGTTGTCCTCGCATGCTAAACGATTCCCCGTCTGTTATCACCCATTTCCACCAAACACCAGGCCCTGTTTGACAACGAGTTGTAACTCTCAATGAAAGCACGAGAGGTCTTTAACTCGGTCACATCTCCCTGTCTCATTTTTCAGGCTTGCGTGCTCTCCTTCGGTCTATTCAGTCCTTGGAAAGGGTGGACAAGGTCAATGGACACATTTATCTCCTTTCCCAGATTCATTGCCCTAAGGATTTATTGTCTTTCATCACCTTTTTTGAAAGTCGTCACCGTGCAACATGCCCAGGTCTATTCAGGAAACATCTGAGCTATAGGCCTGGTGTGTGTTTTGTAGTGATTGACTGAAGCCAGGTGTCTTGGCGTCTTGTTTACTGCTCATTTCATTTAAAGAAATGCTGATTAATTGACTCATTTTAACACAGTGATTCTTTGTGTAAATGGACTAGGATTATCAGTGTCCAATTTGTTGTGTATAGCATTCCTGTAGCTCAAACAGTACCACAGAAACGCCAAGCTCATGGGTTCAATTCCCAGGGAATGCTTGAATTGATAAAATGTGAATGTAAGTCGCTTTGGATAAAAGCATCTGCAAAATGCATGAATGCAGTCCAGGTTTGACTTAGTCTGCGCCTCAAAAGTCGTGCCCATGGACCACACACTGGCCATCTGATGCGTGTTGCACAGAAAAATGGCAAGCAATTCATTTCTTGATCTGACAGGATTCTGATTGATGGTTCATAACAGCTCAACTAGCAAAGAATAATGCCAGCAATACCAAGTTTGAGGTTTGATTCTCATGGAGCACATTAATAGCATTACTGATAAAATGTATACCCAGAATGAACTGTAAGTGACTTTGGATAAAAATGTATGTAAGACTTTCTTTTGTCTCAGACTTTTTTTGAGGCACAGCGAATAAAGATATCCAAGAAGAAGTTTATTGTTTGCTGATTTTTTTTTTTTTTTTTTACAGTGGTCTATTATCGTCTATTCCCAAGAGTGGTGCAGGGA